GAATACATTTCCTACAAAAGTTGCTCTCTGTTTCAGTTTATGCATTCAGACTTGCTGAACCTTACAGCAAGTTAATACAGGGAGTCTGTTTGCTTAAACACTCGACTGTATTCCTCCTGTACTTAGAAGCTGTCAGATATTTAATCAGAGTAAGTAATTTATTAAACAAAGCAGTAAAGTTGTATTTTACAGCTCTGGACAGTCTGTACTGTCCTTTGACCCGTCTCTTCAGCGGTGGTGCCAAAATGGCCATTGACACACTGCCCGAAACCACGACTCGTGATCTGGTTCTGGGTTTGCTGAATTTAAACACGGCATCAGTTTGAGGAATAAATGACAAAATGAAAACGTGCAGGGCTAGAACATATAGTTTATCTTTTATTGCTGCTGGCACTGTAATGGTTATAATTCCTTCTGGAAAGCTGAATGAAACGCAGAGACCATCTGTGCACTTACCTCATTTAACATGCAAGAAGTTTGTCTTCTAAGAGCAGCGTTCTCAGGACAGTGACAGTGAATTTCCAAACATGAGTTTAGGAACCAAAGCCATGGAGGTTTCTTTTATCCCCTTAGAGCACTTACGGTCCAAACACTTTAACTCCTGGTCTCCCAGGACAGGCACCCGCCAATCTGGGGATAAACGTAGACACTTGGAAAGTTTTCACTCCTCAGAATTAAACACTGGGACCAATCCCTTATTCTCGTGCTTTGCCAATGTTTGCACCCTGAAAAATGATGCAGGATATTTAGTTTTTTAAGAATTCAGATTGGCTTGGTGTACAGATATGTGGGAGTGCGTCTGAAAGCTTGGAATGCGAGCCACGAGCTGAGAAACGTATGTAATAATAATATGTAAATGAAATTAAGCCTAGCTATTAAGGTCATAAAGGTATGTGTATGTGTGTGTATACATATATAGTGTATAGAACTGTAATGTGGCTCTCCAGAGCCTTCCAAGGCTGAAGAGAAACCATTTCAAATCAGGCTCCAAACATGCCGAGCACTAAGGTTTTACACAGGAACCAGTCAGGAATTTTTCACAGTTGAAACCAGCCATGTGTAAAAGCCAGAACAGTGGATGAAGAGGAAAACAGCATGAAATTGTGTATAGTTTTATTTACATCCACGTCTGCATTCACACATTTGTGGGGATTCAGCTCCCACCCTGTGTACTTTTAGGCTGGTGTGCAACAACAGGTGGGCCAGTTTACACGGGGTAATTAATTAAAAGTCCCACCGAGGGCTGATTTAATGGTTCCTGGGGGCCGCGCTCCTCGCCCCAGCCCGGACCGGGGGTTTCCCTCAGCGGGGCTCCCGCAGCGCCTTCCCGCCATTTCCGCCCCGCCTGAGGCGCGAGCGCGCGGCCGAGTGTCCGTTATTTTGGGCGGGCTTCGCCTCAGGGCTGCTCCTCATCCTTGTCCCTCATCCTTGTCCCTCAGGGCTGCCCCTCATCCCTGCCCCTCATCCTTGTCCCTCGGGGCTGCCCCTCATCCTTGTCCCTCAGCCCGGTCCCTCAGGGCTGCCCCTCATCCTTGTCCCTCAGCCCGGTCCCTCAGGGCTGCCCCTCATCCTTGTCCCTCATCCCTGCCCCTCATCCTTGTCCCTCATTCCTGCCCCTGATCTTGTCCCTCAGGGCTGCCCCTCNCGAGTTCTGCCAGGAATACATTTCCTACAAAAGTTGCTCTCTGTTTCAGTTTATGCATTCAGACTTGCTGAACCTTACAGCAAGTTAATACAGGGAGTCTGTTTGCTTAAACACTCGACTGTATTCCTCCTGTACTTAGAAGCTGTCAGATATTTAATCAGAGTAAGTAATTTATTAAACAAAGCAGTAAAGTTGTATTTTACAGCTCTGGACAGTCTGTACCGTCCTTTGACCCGTCTCTTCAGCGGTGGTGCCAAAATGGCCATTGACACACTGCCCGAAACCACGACTCGTGATCTGGATCTGGGTTTGCTGAATTCAAACACGGCATCAGTTTGAGGAATAAATGACAAAATGAAAACGTGCAGGGCTAGAACATATAGTTTATCTTTTATTGCTGCTGGCACTGTAATGGTTATAATTCCTTCCGGAAAGCTGAATGAAACGCAGAGACCATCTGTGCACTTACCTCATTTAACATGCAAGAAGTTTGTCTTCTAAGAGCAGCGTTCTCAGGACAGTGACAGTGAATTTCCAAACATGAGTTTAGGAACCAAAGCCATGGAGGTTTCTTTTATCCCCTTAGAGCACTTACGGTCCAAACACTTTAACTCCTGGTCTCCCAGGACAGGCACCCGCCAATCTGGGGATAAACGTAGACACTTGGAAAGTTTTCACTCCTCAGAATTAAACACTGGGACCAATCCCTTATTCTCGTGCTTTGCCAATGTTTGCACCCTGAAAAATGATGCAGGATATTTAGTTTTTTAAGAATTCAGATTGGCTTGGTGTACAGATATGTGGGAGTGCATCTGAAAGCTTGGAATGCGAGCCACGAGCTGAGAAACGTATGTAACAATAATATATAAATGAAATTAAGCCTAGCTATTAAGGTCAGAAAGGTATGTGTATGTGTGTGTATACATATATAGTGTATAGAACTGTAATGTGGCTCTCCAGAGCCTTCCAAGGCTGAAGAGAAACCATTTCAAATCAGGCTCCAAACATGCCGAGCACTAAGGTTTTACACAGGAACCAGTCAGGAATTTTTCACAGTTGAAACCAGCCACGTGTAAAAGCCAGAACAGTGGATGAAGAGGAAAACAGCATGAAATTGTGTATAGTTTTATTTACATCCACGTCTGCATTCACACATTTGTGGGGATTCAGCTCCCGCCCTGTGTACTTTTAGGCTGGTGTGCAACAACAGGTGGGCCAGTTTACACGGGGTAATTAATTGAAAGTCCCACCGAGGGCTGATTTAATGGTTCCTGGGGGCCGCGCTCCTCGCCCCAGCCCGGACCGGGGTTTTCCCTCAGCGGGGCTCCCGCAGCGCCTTCCCGCCATTTCCGCCCCGCCTGAGGCACGAGCGCGCGGCCGAGTGTCCGTTATTTTGGGCGGGCTTCGCCTCAGGGCTGCCCCTCATCCCTGCCCCTCATCCCTGCCCCTCAGGGCTGCCCCTCATCCTTGTCCCTCATCCTTGTCCCTCAGGGCTGCCCCTCATCCTTGTCCCTCAGGGCTGCCCCTGATCTTGTCCCTCAGGGCTGCCCCTCATCCCTGATCCTTGTCCCTTAGGGCTGCCCCTCATCTCTGCCCCACATCCTTGTCCCTCAGGGCTGCCCCTCATCCTTGTCCCTCAGCTCGGTCCCTCAGGGCTGCCCCTCATCCCTGCCCCTCATCCTTGTCCCTCAGGGCTGCCCCTCATCCCTGTCCCTCATCCTCGTCCCTCAGGGCTGCCCCTCATCCCTGCCCCTCATCCCTCAGGGCTGACCCTCACTCTCCTCCCTCAGCCCGCGGCCGGCGCTGCCGCCTCTGTGTGAGGCACTGCCGAGGCTCGCCCTGAGCTTACAGTTTTTCTACAGCTTTTTCTGTGGGTGTTGGTCAGGAAACAACACACTGAACTCCTGCGTGGCGCAAAACTCTCTCTAAACTGAAATGTAAAGCTTGTGCGGTTTTATTTTACAAGTGTTTTAGTGGGGGCCGTTAGGTTTCATAGTGCAAGGAATATGCTTTAAATTGTGTAACAGGAATGGACTAGGGGCTGCTTTAATGTCATCACACGTGTAATTGATGTATCTCTCAGAAGTAAAGACTAAATTGATCTATTAGTCAGCTGTGGTAGAAGCTGCACTTCAATCTTATTAACATCTTTAATAGCTGCGTACGGTTAACTGTCAGATCAAAATAAATATAGAGGGAATGTCTTGTATTATTTATACATCTAAATATGTGGTATTATTCATGTGCCACTGAAGGCGTTATGTACCAGTAGCTAAATCTGATAGAATAGCAAGTAAAGCTGCCCACAGTCTGTGTAGTATCCTCAGTGTATACAGTAATACATAAAGATCACGAGTAGATTAATCAAAAAACAAATATGGCAAACTACCTGTACCTAACATGCTAATATGTATTTCTTCTGCTGGTAATATTTGGCTTACAGTAATGTCTTTTTGATTTGTGATGTATTTTATGTACGAGGGAATTGGCTAAAGGTTTTAGGTCTGTTCCATGATGCACAGAAAATAAGTTTATTTTTGAATCGTGATGCAATTTTTCACATAAGAGTTAAATTGGTTTTGTCTTCAAAGCTTTGTACCTTGCCATCACCTTTGGCTGCAATGCATAAGTATGCATTTTTTTATTAGCGTTGCATTTCCAGAAATTTAAAAAACAAAACAACTCCTTGTATTTGGATGTATATATACTTTTACATTCAGGAGTGAATTTAGTATTGTTCCAGCACTTAAAAAAAGTAGAGAATACAACTTTTACTTCAAAAATGTAATCATTTGGGCCCTTAATCTGCAAAGACCAGTTGCACTTTATGTGTGTACCTGTGGATCCTCTAAATGCAGTACAGCTGCTTGTATGTTTTAGGCTTGTGTCTGAAGCGATGCCAGTCACTGGCTCTGCAGGGTTAGAGAAACTGCCATAAAATCTGGATGTGTTTACAGCATTAATTACTTTACTCTGCTTATCTAACTTCCATCCAGCAAGTTTGGAGTAATCAATACCCTGTTGCCTGTTAAGACTCGGCAAAGAAATGAAAAGGAGTTTAGCTGACACCTCAACTCGCAGCACAGCAGGTACCAGCCCTTGCTTTACCATTCACACCTCACTATACTTTTATATATAAATGTATATTTTTTATATGTATGCACACACATACATATACATGCAGTGTGCATGCAGGATATTCAGTATTCAGCCCGAGATCCCTGTTTCCTGAGTGGACTTGAATGGGTTATCTGTTTATTGCAGAACAGGGCAAGATTTTGGATGGATTCGAGGAACTGGTCACTCAGGGAAAGGTTTAATTCACAAGGTTATGTGCAGGACAGAGGGTTGGAAATATGAATTCTATAAAGGAATGGTCTGCTATGTGTTTATGAAATGTAATTCCTATGGGTGATGTAAAATAATTGTGAAGTCGTTTTATCTACTTATTTTAAGTGCAGATTGTGTATCTTTTTGCTATTAATATAGTATTATTACTTGAATTTTAATTTTAGGTTGCCTGCCCGTGCCTCTGTTCAATCAGAAAAAAAGAACTAGACAGCCTCTCACTTCAAATCCACTTAAAAATGAACCAGGTACCGGTTCTGGGACTCGTACTTATGACTTCTCTCCCACATCATTTGGTAAATAAGATATATTTTATTTTTGTAGAGGCTCTAAATCAAATAAATCTTAACTTCCTGCTTGTATTCTATGCAATCAGACATTGTCTTTATCAAGAACTATATGCACCCTTTATATCTATTTCTGAAAAGCTCATTATGTAAAAATTGTCCTCCAGGAAACTCCTTTCTCCTCTGTACAATTGAGCTTTTTATACTTTGTGCCTAGAGGGAGTTTGACTCTTTGAGTGTTGGAGAATGAAGTGGCACTGGCATTTAAATCGAGTCTCTTGAAACCGACCTTTTGTTTTCAGTTGAGTTCAATCAACATTCAAGTCCTGTGTTATAAGAAGAAACATTTATAAGACGTCTTTCTTGTAGTCCAGAAAGGAACTTCTGTTCTGCAGTTTGGGCTTGGAAAGAATAGTGTGGAATTCTGCCTTTGGTGCTTTCATCGTGGTCTACTTGTAATAAAGTTAAAAAAGTTTCCTTATAATACAGTAATAAAGTCTCTGTTGCTAATAAGTCTAATTTTTGTAAGTGAGCTGTTGTCTAGAGAAGCAACCTACTTGTTGGAAGTTGCCTTATAATTACAGATATCAAAGGATCACATTCCCTTTTTATTTTTTCCCCTTCTCCTTCCCGTGTGAGCCTGTGTGTGGGACACTGGGCAGATACAGAGTAGGAGCCCTACATAAGAGACCTATTACCTTCCAATCTTCTCTGTTTGTGCCCATAATCAATCTTTTGCCTTTTGAAAATTAGGCTGGGGAACTGCAAACCCAGAAGTGGCTGAACTGCAGAAAGCAGCAAACAGTGGGTATGTAAAAGCAGGTTATTTGTTGCGTTTTGATTTTTATTTGGATACTAATTGTTTCACAAACTATGATCCATGTGTCTGTCTTACAATAAAGCTGCTACGATGTCACTGATACTTTAAACTTTTATTTGAAAGCCAAACAGAACACCAGATGGCTCCTTCCCTCCTGAAACCACCAAATGCATCAAAGTTTAATTTAGCAAATGCTGGAAAAAACTTGGCTGCCTGCAGGTTGGTGGAGTCTTTAATGTCTATTACCCTTCCTTTTTTGTTCTCATGTGAAAATACATCTTACATTTTCCCATATTCCTGGAGCATTCAGAGAGACCCTTTTAATTCTCAGATCATCACTGTAGTCCTAAACAGATCCTGTGATCCTGAACTGTGTCTGACATTGCATTGCAGGAACAGAAATGAGTATAATCCTTTGAGTAACCCAGCAGATCCAAGGCCTGATAGTGGAATCACTCAAAAGTTTGGGAACCTTTCAAACAGTTGGAAAACTGTCCAGCAGCCAAAAAACCCTGGTAATCGTAATTCATCTCAGCTCCTCAAAACAGAAACAAGCCAGCCAAACACACCCAAAGGACAGTGGCCAGTGAAACCTAACCCTGCATCAAGAAGCCTGCAGGGTCATAGCCCAGCATATAAATTTAACTCCAATATTCAGCAAAATAAAATGAATGAAGACCAATTTGATTTTGTCCCAGAAGAAAAAATTCAGGTAAAACTCACGGGGAGAGTTAAAAGGAATACACAATGAAGAAAGCAGTAAAAAAAAGGAGAAAGCTGATGAAAGATGAAGCTTTTGTCACCCCAAGCTACCTTAGTAAACATTTAAGTTTATGAAAATTTAGAATTGAGATTATCATACTATAATAACTACAATCCTCAGCATTATTTTATAAACTTGCAGGGAGTTGTTTGTATATTCTGAACAAATACTCTACTGTAAATATCGGCTATTTAACATAATATATAAATGTCTAATGTGCCTATTAAAATTAGGAGGGTGCCTGTCTAACTTGAGGTTTTGTCGTCCTCTGGAAGGAAGTTCCATCATCTCAAATAAAAATGAGAGAAAAAAAGAATTCTTTGCGAATCCTGTCTGCAGTCATTGAAAGCCTGAGGCACTGGAGTCAATACTCTTACAAAACTGCTCTCTTATTTGAAGTCTTAGGTAAGCACAGTTGATTGGGCTGTAGATGATAATGATGCAAGGGCAACAATGAGAGAGAATTTTATTCACTCTTGGGACAGTAGCTGAAATACTGAAACCCATAAAGTGCTGCTGTGAGCACCATCTAATTTTCCTTCTGGGAGATCCATTCAGCTGTCAAAGGTGACTGAAATCGGTACAAAATTATTAATTCAGTCATTTTCCAACATTTAAGCTTTCTCAGTGCTGTTTATTTTCTTTCCTGGTTTTTAGAAAGTGCTAAAATAATTTTTTTTTTATTTTATAGGAACTTTCTGTAGAGAGGTGCAGTTTTACAATAATTCTTAATACAATTAATCCAGGAATAGATTCAAGTCTGGGGTACTTCCTAATATATATACAGACTTATAGTGTGTTCCACTTTGCATTTAATTGATGTTGTCTGAGAAATGAATGTGACAAAAAGCCGAAATGACTAAATTTTACAACAAGGTGAATAAGAATATATAATCTGTTGGCACCTCAGCTATTATTTTGACAAGACTGCAGATATTTAAAGTTGATTTGCATGTGTTCCCACACAAAGCTGATGCTGGCTTGATATATCTCAGTGTTTTTGTGTGGTAAATGATGTCGTGGTGTCTTTGTGTATCTTAGTAGTGCTCTTTGTTTACACCATGACTGATTTCTGTAAATGGCACAGGCACACTGGACTCTGCAGTCACACCTGGAGCTTATGGGGCAAAGAACTTTCTTCTGAGAGATGGAAAGGAGACCCTGCCTTGTGTGTTTTATGAAATTGTGAGTATTCTGTGTCTGAACATAACACACACACCACCAGCTCCAACTCCTTTTATGAAGTTAATAATATGTTGTTCTGCTAAAGCAGAAATATTCTGTGTAAAAGGTAGGCTGGGTGTTTATACCACACTGATCCCAAACTAGAGCAATAACCTAGCCACTACTTAGGCATCCTTACACCTCTGTTTCAGAAAAAAAAAAAAAAGTTGGGATTTCAGTTTAGTTTTTAAGCAGTTGATAAAAACAAAAAAACTGATGTAAATTCCTTCTGTTCGACATTCTTCAGAAGCCAGCCATGCAGAAAGCTTTTCTGGTGGGTGACAATTGTGTTCTTTGTTTGTTATGCTTTGATGAAGGACCGGGAGCTTCCAAGACTAATTCGAGGCCGAGTGCACAGGTGCATGGGAAACTATGATGCAAAAAGGAACATTTTCAAGTGTGTCTCTGTAAGACCAGCAACTGCTCCAGAACAGAACACTTTCCAAGACTTTGTGAGAATTGCAGATGCTGAGATGGCAGCATATGTAAAAACAATGAATGAAATGTAGAAGTTGAAATGGATTCTCTGATTTTCACTGATGAAGCATTTCCCAAAACTACCAGTGAGAATCTGGTTGAATAATTGGGAATATCACTGTGCTGTGCTAGCCAACAAATGTTAGTAACAATGTTTTGTTCTCACTGTTACTTTCTTTGGCTTTCCCAGTTAAATATTCAATAACGGGTTTGTTACATAGTAGATTAGACTTTACTGGAGAAATTCAGAATTAAAATGCTAAAGTTTTGCAGTAGAGCAAGTGTCTTACAATTCAGATTCCCACTGCTTTTCGTTATCTTCAGTTTTGAGAAATTCCTTCAATACCTGGTTCAAAATGTTGACTGCATACTTCTTTTGAGAAGTATTTGCTCATGGTTCAATAGCTAACAAACATCACAGAGTTCTCTTTGGCTAGAAAGTAAAAAGATAGTCTTTATTCCTCTTGAGTTCCAAATAACAGGTGCCCTTCCCTTTGCTGGATGACAAGAACATGTGTGAAAGCTTTGCTAGAAATGACCATAATAGTTACCCCATAAAGATTTCACAGGATGCAGCTGTATCTGCCAGCTATTCCTTGGCTTCCCCTTTATATCCTATCTGATTTTTTTTTTTTTAAATAAATAATCAGTATAACACCTGTATAAAACAGCAACACACCCTGAAGCTGTAGGAAGATTCCTCAAGGCCACAGAGGAAGTTGAAAAGAAAGAATTATTTGAAGGCAGAACTTCCTTGCCTTTGCCATATAAACACCTTTCATGAGGGATGGACCATGTACATGTTTATGTGCCTTTGCCTTCAAACATTGACTTTCACAGGTTATTCCTGCTGTTTCTATTTCCTCTTCCCCTGCTTCAAAAGCTCTGCAGCAGATCTGTTGGGAGTTGTAAAACAAAAGACTTGTCAAGAAAATAGCAAACAGGATGGTTGTTTTTTTTTTATTATTTTATTATACAGTGTTGGCAATTGGAAATTTCACATTTAAAATAATTGAAATATTGTATCCAACAAGTCAAATACAGAAAACAGTTAATATTCTAAAAAGGAGCCAGCTAGTCAACGCAGAAACACATTAATGGAAAATACAGCTTTTAGTTACACTTAAAAAATTATATATTTAGAATAAAACTTGAACCTGGTCCAGTAAATTGTTCGACTTGCAACAGGAAAACGCTTGCACACAGTTTAACGCGCAGACAGTCTCTGGTTAAAAAAGTGATCTGTCAGTGTCAGCACATGTATTGTCAGCAACAGCCCCCTAATGTTCCAGTCAAGATCTAAGGTGTGTGCTTTACTAACTGCTGGGAGAATCACTTGCATTGTCACCTCCACCTTCTGTGCTAAGCTGCTTCTGAGCAGGGACGTGCCAAGCAGAGCTTTGTCTGCCCACTGGTCATGGACATGTCTTTGATTTCCTTGATATGTTATAAAATGTTAGAGGAGGTGGCACATGGAAGCATCAGCTTAACTCATAAAAGGTGCAGAATATTGTAGGATGCAGAGGTTGATGATTTCCCAACAGAAGCTGAGGTTTAAGGAGTAAAGCATTTTGGTACAGCAGAGTTCTGAATGGTAAGACTCTGCTGTAACAGTCACTTAAAATTACAGATGAAGCTTCAACTCTGGGGCCAGGCCTGTTATCAACACCCCCCCCAGAGTTGCAGTCCCACTGATTCCAGTTGAATGATTGATGCTTCCAGTTCTGCACTTTGAAAGTTGCATTAATAAGTAATGGCAGGAAGAGGTCGTTTTTGTCTACTGGGTATGTTCTGGCTGTTAATAAAAATCTAAAATGATTTTACTTTCAGTAAGTGTTTAGATCTTTGGAAAAAAACCAAAAAGTTTCTACTTTACACTAACAAATCACTTTTTCTAGTGAAACATTAAGTGAACAGTTGTAAACATTACACAAAACAGAAAAAACCCTACACAATACAGTTTATACACACTACTCAACATTTTTCAGTTGTTGGGTGGTTGATTTCTTTTTTTAACCATATTGATCCTGTCTTGTATAATGGTTCTAGTGTAAAGGCACAGGTTGGTTAGGAAAGAAAAGCCTGCATCTCTGTCTCTTTACTTCATGGTGATTATTTTCTTTTTGCATGTTGTTTGTTATTCCTCACTTTTCTGACTCTTGTATGAAAATTATCCATTTCAGCCATTCATTAAAAAAAAAAGTGTAAGACATTACTGAAAAGCACATTACTGTACAGAAGTGACTGAAATTTATTCTTCTTACTTTAGGGCATTCCTTCAACCTATTTTGTTAAATATTTAGAAGATTTAATTTCTTAGTCCCTGAGAGCAAAAGTGCATAGCACGTGCTCTCTCTTTCTCAGTGTACTTCAGTCTATGTTGGAATCTGTATTTTCAGAGATTAATATTGGAACTTGAGAAATTTATGTGCAGAATTTGCTTTTAGAGTGCCTGGAAATGTAACGACACGACAATTATTCTGGAAAACAGCACAACTTTCCATTGAAGTTTGGAAGGGTGAGGAATGTAAACAAGACTGCAGAAGCCTTTGATGTATATTAAGATAACACAGTGATTGTTCCATCTGCATTTTCTTGTACATCCTCAACATGTCTCTGTCTGTCCCTTCAGCAACACCTTCTGTTACAAACAATAAAAATGCAGGAATCAGTTGGACCCAGCTAAGTGAAGAATAATAAATTTGATCACCTGGTTCGAGTCAAAACACTAAACTACAGCTCTGAATTAAATATAATCTATGTGATTTTTCTTTTCTTTTTTTTTTAATAAATAATAGAAAATAAAAGATGAGAAGAGAATTAGAAATCTATTTTTATTTAAAAGGAAAACCACAACAGGTGGGTGAGATTAGAACCCAATGTTTCTTTTGCTTAAGGCAATCAAGTGCACTTATTTCAATGCTTGATAGTAATGAATTCAGTGCTATTGTGGAAATCAGACCTCACAAAATTCCCCTACAGACTAATGAAATATGGCCATTTGCTAGTTTAACACAGCATCAGATTCTTATTAGTTGTGTTGAGTAGCATTTCACTTCACTTTTGTCTTTTTACAGCAATGGACTCCCAGTTGTAATGGAAAAACCAGAATCTGCTTCATTCTGGCTTGGATTATCACTACATGTAAGGGCCATTGGGCACAGGCAGTTTTGTAAACAGTGGTTTTTGTTTTCAGCCTTAAAAAACAAACAGTACACCCCAAAAATCTAAAGTTGTAATAGTTCAAGGAATTTTGTAAAATTCCACCTAAAATTATGATTTAAGAAACACCCAAACCGAATTCTTAGCATTTTTTTTCCCCTCTGTTGTTAAAACTATGAAATCATCATGAAGCCTTTGGAAGCAGATAGATCTCTCAGAAAAAAAAAAAAATCTAAATTTTATGCAACTCTTCACGCAGAGGACTCTAAATCTTGGCAATTAGAGCAGTAGTAAAAAGTGTGCCCAAAACTTAAAATATAGAGAGAGACTAAAAAGAAACTTTTTTTCTTGTATACAACTCTTTTTAGCTACCAAGCTTAATTTTAGGCCGTGGCTACCAGCAGGTGCTTCTTCTCACTAATCAAAACAATTGTAACAAAATATCATTACTGATTTTAAAGTTATTGGGTTCCCAAAACTTTTGACGTCGAATGATCTATCGAAAGTGAATTGAAGCTTTCAAGACTTACGATTCTGAGACACAAAAGAAACTGGGAGGTAGACAGATGTTTTGAGGATAAACTGATTTTTTTTTTTTTTTCTCTCTAAGGCATTATGCCACTGTGTGTTCAGAGCACTGTAAAGGCTGCTGATTAATTGACTTCAATTCCAGAGTGTTCTCTGCTCGTGCTCACGGAAGACTAGCAATGCACTTTTGGTCTTTGTGAATGTGACCTTCTCTTCCCCATCTCCTTTCCCCCCTCTTTAGCTAACACAGCTAACTGGAAGTGCTATCCTCATCTCTGCCCATCACCTGCAGACAGGAAGGTTCCTGCTCTTACAACAGGAAGAAAAATACTATAAAATAGTAGGTATTGGAGTTGGAGATATGTGCTCTTTCGGTGCATATTTCGCAAAGAATGGTAAAAAGACAGACAACATGACCCCAACAATTGCCAGCATGTACCCCCACCCAATCTGGCAGTCTCCTGCATAGTAGATGTCTGAGTTCTCACAGAATCTCTTCACAGTAGCAGAGTTGAACCCAAAAGGGTAAACCAAAAGCCCAGAAGCCATAATGAACACTGGAGAGGAGAAAGAAAACACACCAGTTATTATCCAACCTTCATTCCCTTGGGGAAAAAAAAAAAAAATCCTTATCTTAGAAAGGCAAATATATATTAAAATCAATGGGAAAAATCATAGCTTAAAACACCCCTTATGATTGGCAGATTCTCTCTTCCTTTTCATAATTACCTCTTGAGCACAGCAGTGGTGGGACATAAGATTTTTTCATGAGAGCTCTTGCCATTACAGAACTTCAGAAACGCTGCAATCCAAATTAGGAAGCCATGTCAAAAGTCTGATGATTCAGATATAATGGAATCCAGAGGAGAATTCCTAAGTTTGCAGATTCCAAACCAGCTCCATTTTCTTCTCAACAGCATTTTTGTGCTTGAGACAATTACTTTGTTCTGCCAAATGAAAACTTCCAGTGAAAGAGTTCAAATGCAGGTTTTCAGATTCTGCTCGTGAGGTTCTGCTAATGGGAGCACTTTCTCATTATTCTCATTAGTACAGACTCAAATTGTTTAAAAAATCCCAAAGATTGTAAGATAAAAAAACCAAAACAATAACTTTTAGCAGTGGACTCTGTCACTATAGGGGTTTGGATCCTCTCAGTAACTAAAACACAAACAAAGCTTAAGCCACCCCTTGATGCTGGAAAGCCAGACTTGCCTCCTGCAATTCCCCTGCATGATCCATTAGCTTTTAATAGTCCTGCACAGATTTTTAACACGTCACATTTAGAGATCATGGCTTACGCAATTCATTTAATGAACATCAGCAGCACTTCTCCAGCTTTGAAAGTAAGACAGCCCAAGGAATAAATCCTGGCTATGACAGAGATGGATTGAAATCCTCCAGGAGCAGCTCTTGGAGCTGTTTCTGCCCACCCTGGGAGAGAAGAGGGGCCGAGCCAGGCTGATTGCGAGGGGGTTTCACCATCCCAGCACTGTGTGGTTGAGGGAACACCGAGAAAGTGTCCTCCTCTCTGTCCTTCCTTCTCATGAATTACCACTGCATTTTAAATCTAGAGTGTATTTTAAAAGGCTTTGTGTTATGTACTGAAAAGACACCATGGGGCAGTCCCTTTTCCTGCCTTCCCATTCCTCCAGAATATTGCTCTGTTCAGATTCAGGGTAGTGATTCAAGAATAGCAGCAATCAGAATTAACAGTTATGTTTGAGCTGATAGATAATTCATCACCAGCAAACATCTAATGAAACATTAGGATTATAAAACAAACACTCCATGCTATTCTCTGTGTTTGTAATTGCCTTTCAGGTGGGGCACATGCAGATGACTCCAATTATCATATTGGAGAGGCTTAATCTTAAAAGTATCCACTAAAAAACAGGCAATCGCTCATTAATCTTTTTCAATTAAAAGCCACTTTAATAAGCTTGAGGGCTGGATGAAGTCAAAAAGTTTAACACACACAGCCTGCAAAGCCCCTGAATAATTTGAATTAAACCTTTCCTTCTAGTCTAAATGGAACTGCTGAGTTAATCCCTCGTAGAAAAGAGAAAGAGGAGAGGAACTGGAGCAGCAGCAAACCTGTCAGTGTGTTCCCCTGGGGGGATCTCCCAGAGGGGCACAAGGAGGAGCTCCTGCCAAGAAGTGGAGCTGTCAGAGCCAAATGTTTCACCTGCCCTTGCTCCCACCAACACCCTCTTTCCTTTGAGCCTCAGGAATAATTGTTCAGCAGTTCTGTGGCCTTCCTCTCTTTCCAGGCACGAGGTGATGATGCTGCAGGAGCCAGTGAAGGGAAAAGTCCTTCCCAGCACAAGGAACATCCCCAGCACATCTCACAATCCCTGATCCTCAACCAGCTGCACCTGCTGGGAGTGCCCAGCAGAGGAGGGAGCCCACAGACCTGGGCACTGAGTTCTTGGCAGCTGCATTTAGGGTCTGACATCACCCAAACACGCAGAAGCTGGAGGTAAATACAAAGAAATAAGTTATGTTATGCAGATCTCCTCTCACTACGCATCCGTGACACCACTAAAAACAACGTAAAAAGAAAATACAGTAAAAATGGAGCTAAACTAGACACACACACACATATCTCTTGCATCAGGACAAGGGGTAACAGCACAGCCCCACTGCCACCCCCACTGCTCGACTGCATGAGGAGTCTGAACCAGCCCCGGGGTGCAAAACCTTCTGTAAAGTGTGGGCAAAGTGAGCCAGATTTAAGAGGAACAGCCACTGCTCTAAGCAACAATCAGGTCTGAAACTAAAATTTCAGTTTTTTCATCTTTTCAAAGCCAAAACAGTCCTCGCCACTTGGTGGGGAAAAAAAAAAAAAAAAAAGTGATGCAGAATTGGAAACAACCTTTTTTATCATAAAATCCTTTGCTAACTGTTAAACTTCACTGTTTTTCTGACCCTGTCTCAACCCCTTTCTCTGCTTCTCGTATCTGTCCATATATGTTTCCTTTTTGATTGGGTTACACAGGATTATTTTGAAGGCTGTGCTTGACAGCCACGCCAGTGTTTTGATTACCACTCGGTGCTGATGTTGCACGGTGTGATCCGATGGAGGAAGCTTTATTTTTTTTGAAGGCTTCAAACAATCTGTGGCAGCTGAACGTACGCGTTCACATAATCAAACGGGCTAAAAAGTTACCCGCCGTTTCATATCCTCAGGCATGTCATAGAATGACCTCATTATTCTCATTTAGGTGCCCTTTTTTTCTTACAGAGGCTCCAAATATTGAAGAGCCCGTTATTACCCGCAGCAGCCAAGCTCTCAGGCACGCTGCTAATGACTCCTTAATGGGGCTGTCTGTCAGCAGCACAGCGAGCTGGGAGAGCACACAAAGAAACAGTGGGGCTCCATTTACGCTCCTCATGGAACACTTACGCCTCTGCACGGCTTTCCAACAACAAATAGCACTTTGAGAGGTGTCAGAGTACAGCAGTGAGCGCGTTTCACCCTCCCGTGCGGTGCAATCCTGCTGTCATACAAGGCCAGAGAACATCTTGGGGTGTGTTCTACAGCACGAGGCCAATTGAGTGTGAGGGAACTTGCTGGTCCTGTTAAAAACACGCTTTTCTTTGTTTGTTTGTTTTATCAGACACACACTGTTTGTCACGGCTGGGTCTGCATCACCCGAGTTCTCTCACGTGCTGTTTGTCATTGCTGAGTCCTCATCACCTGAGTCCTCCCCAGTAACTCCCAACCACTGCTGACTGCAGGGCAGCCCAAAGGCAAGGCCAGCACAGCGGGTCAACAGTAAGTCATGTTTTATATCTGCTTTGTAATCTCCTGCCCTCCCAAACAGTTACAGTCTCCCCCTCATCCTTTCTGCTTCCCTGCTGTCCTACAGCCAGGTGGTAAATGGCAGTTTCTCCTCTGAAGGGTTTGAGAGTCAAGGCCTGGTTTTATTTTTACCAAGTAGATTTCTGAATTTATTTGATTCCTAAAGAAAACAAAGGAGGGCACTTCTTCCAGGGGAAATGGGGCTTTTCGTAGCAAAAAAATTGTTGCTGATAATACTGAATCAATGACAGTTCTACTCAAGGAAAAAAGAATTTGCTGCGATTTTAAACCCCGATAATCTATGTCTCTTCATCACTGCAATGGTTTATTCATTTCATGAAGCTCCTGTAAAACTGTTCAATTATTTAAATCCATCAAATACCCTTTCCCAGTTCATTCTAAACCAAAGCAAAGCACTGCAGTTCTCTGGAGCGTGGGCAGAGGGCACCAATGCACAACACTCTCAGATACCACGACAAAAAAAGGCTATTTCCATTTCCACTTCTTTTGGCAAGACCGATGGACTTTTCAACATATGAAACACAATAATTGAATAGTTTTCTGTGGTTGGGAACCAGGAATGTTTAAACTTGGCTCAGCTTGTGTTTATCCTTCCATACCGGTGTCGAAATGGATGGAAATCCAGAGGTGGATCCCAAATACAGAGAAGAGAAGAGGCTGTTTTATTTGATTGTGTTTGTTAGTGTGTTTAGATGATGTGTGGTAGTAATAGTGATCACCAGGAGTAAAATATGATGTGTGCATGAATTTTCTTCATGGAATTACCTTCTGTAAGGGGATTAGTTTGTCTCAAAAGTTTAATTTGTTTACTTTAGCAGTATATTGTATTCCTGGTACCTGTGACAATGACAGATTAATTGCAAGCTTGTGGGACATATCAGAAAATCATTAGAATTAGGGCTGAATCATAAGCAAGCAAGAGTATTGTTCCAACCCTGTTACAGATTATCACAGTCTTATGTCTTCTTGGAAGATTTTTATTGACAGAACTTAATCTACCAAAGCAATTTTCACTCATCTCATCAAGAAGTTTCCTCTTACATATAATCCATTACCTCCCTTATTAAAGCTGGCAGCTCTTCTTAGGCACAATCAGCTGAGTTTGAATAACACATTTTGTCTCAGTTTCATCCATTTCATTAACCTAATAATTTTATTAGCTCCTCTTCAGCTTTTCTTTATGTTTATGGGATTTTACTTGCATAATTTAAAATGAGCAAGCAGATGCTGATATTTTTATAGCATGCCTGGAGGGTTTCTACATTTGGGGTGTTTGGGGCATATGTGGTTTAAATTCTTGTACAAAAAGGAGGTACCTGGATATCTCTTCCATATATAGCTTTTCCAACAACTGGAAACCTAAAGACAAGGCTAAATAAGATCCAAGGTTATTGTTGGCAATGGCTGCACATGAGTACAAATAGAAACAAGATGGAATTTTGGGCTATCAGCAAACTTAGAAATTTCCTTTTAACTACTTCAGAAAAGGAGGAATTCCCTAGATCTGGGGAGAGCTGAAACACATCTAAAATCAGCAGGCATCACTTTAAATGCCTGTTACATATAAATAAAATAAACAGGAAAGCGACTGTAAAATAAACAGGAAAGTGACCTGTCAAAGACAAAAGAAATCAAACAAAATCCCACTGTTACAGAAACAAAACTTTGGGAGGGGCTCGGCAAACAGGGACCGCTGTTAAATGCAGAGCTCTGCTCTGCTGAGCTCCTGGC